ATTCTGTTTGACTTTCAGCAAGAACTCACCAAGGGTCGTGAGGCCCTCGGCGAAATGAACGACAATGGTGAACTCTTCTCAGACTTCTGCGCCTTTAATGACTTGGTGATTGGTGGCAGTGTGTTCAAACACAAGGATATACACAAGACGACATGGATTTCACCAGATGGACACACCAAAAACCAAATAGACTTCATCTCAATTTCAAGAAAGTGGAGACGGAGCCTACTGGACACAAGGTCAAGGAGAGGAGCAGATGTGGGTTCAGACCACTATCTAGTAGAAGGGACTTTCAAGGTGAAACTAAAAGCCTCGAGGATAGCTGGGGATAGGCCACAATGCAAGTTCAACACTCAATTACTGAAGGACACAACCACAAAAGACACTTTCACTGCAACTGTCAGAGCAAAGCAGGAAACACTACGCGACATCACTGAAGAATCATGCGTGGAAGAACATTGGAAGTCTCTGAAGGCGATTCTCAACGAAACGTGTTCAACGGTTCTAGGAAGAAAGAAGAGACAAGACAAGGAATGGCTCTCAACGGACACTTGGAAATTAATAGAAGAGAGGAGAATGGTGAAAGAGAAAATGATTCAATGCAAGGACGGACAGGAGAAGGAGACGATGAGCTCAACTTACAAAGCACTGGACAAAGAAGTGAAGAAGAGTGCTAGGAAGGACAAAAGACGATTCTACGACAACCTCGCCACTGAAGCTGAGAAGGCAGCAGGCAAAAGGGACCTGAGGACACTATATCAGATAACCAAATCTCTATCCGGGAAGAGATCAACACAAGCGAAACCTATAAAAGACAGCCAAGGGAACCCAATTACCAAGGAAGAAAAACAGATTAAACAATGGGCGGATCACTTCAAAGGACTCTTGAACCGACCATCACCTGCAACCCGTCCAGAAATACCAACAACAGCGAGCACACAACTGCAAGTTGACACCAATCCTCCAACGAGAGCTGAAGTCTTGAACGCAATCAAGCTTCTGAAAGCTGGAAAAGCAGCCGGACCAGATGGAATACCCCCTGAAGCACTGAAAGCGGACCCAGAGACTACAGCAGACATGCTGACTCCATTATTGCAAAAGGTCTGGAAGGAGGGAAAGGTGCCTACTGACTGGAGGAAAGGTTACCTCGTGAAACTACCAAAGAAGGGCGACTTAGGACTCTGCAAGAACTGGCGAGGAATCATGCTCCTATCGACGCCAAGTAAAATCCTGAGTCGCATCATCCTGGAGAGATTAAAGGACGCACTGGAGACAGAACTCCGACCAGAACAAGCTGGATTCAGGAAAGGCAAATCATGTACTGACCAAATTGCAACTCTACGCATCATCATCACAGAACAAAGCATGGAATGGCAATCAAACCTCTACCTCAACTTTATAGACTTTGAGAAGGCCTTCGACAGCGTTGACCGTGAAGTAATTTGGAAATTACTCGAGTACTATGGCGTACCCCAAATATTCATCAACCTTATTCAACAGCTGTACGACAACGGCACATGTCAAGTGATCCACAACGGAAAACTCAGCAAGGCGTTTGGAGTAAACACAGGAGTCAGACAAGGGTGCTACCTATTATCACCAATGATATTCCTAATTGTGGTGGACTGGATTATGCGTCAGACAGTGGGAAACGAGAAGACAGGGATATCCTGGACCGACGTGAAGAACCTAGAAGACCTGGATTTCGCGCGTGGATGATTTATGTTTGATGTCACACACAATCGAAGACTTACAAGCGAAAACCGACAAACTGGTCGAAGAAGCAGACAGTGAAGACAGGACTCCAGGTAAACATAGACAAGACGGAGGTTATGAAAATAACCAACCAACCAACAACAACAACAGCAACATCCAGCGCCAATCACCATCAACGGGAGGGATTTGAAAGAGGTTACTTCACTCACTTATCTAGTGAGCATTGTCTCAACTACAAAAGGAACGGAGGAGGATGTCAAATCGAGCGAGAATCGGGAAGGCGAGAAACACATTTATCTACCTGAAACCAATCTGGAAATCTTCGTCACTCAGCATCAACAACAAAATTCGTCGAATTTCCAATACAAACATCAAGTCGGTCAGCTCTTCTATACGGATCAGAAACTTGGCGTGCGCGTCACAAAGAATATTTCCAACAGGCTATTGCAGACCTTTATCAACAACTGTCTTCGCTCAATACTGAAGATCAGATGGCCGGAAAGAATCACCAACAAGGAATTATGGGAACAAACACAGCAAGAACCAATCGCCCAACAAATATGCAGGAGAAAGTGGAGATGGATCGGACACTCGCTGAGGAAACCGTTGGGTGACATCGCGCGTCAAGCCCTCGAGTGGGACCCGAAAGGGAAGCGGCGTGTGGGACGTCCAAGGGTGACATGGAGGAGATCGTGTGAAGAGGAGTTGAAAGAATATGGACTAACATGGATGCAGGCGAGAAGTACAGCAGAAGACAGAAGCAAATGGAGACGTGCAGTTGAAGCTCTATGTTCCACTAGGAACCCAAGGGAGCAATAATAATAATAAGTTTATTTAATAAGATGTCCCTAGGGACCCTAGTCAAACTCTGCTTTCTGTGAGTTTCTTTGTAGAGATTCGATTCTTTTCAAGATTGGTCACGGATGGATATCAGTTAGAGAGCTAATATTGAAAACCAACCAACCAGGGAGTACTGGATAGTCAGCTGTTTCGTCCTGGTTTGGGACTCATTGGCAGTATATGCAATCAACATTAGGGTTCGAAATCAGGATCTTCCAGTTACAAGGCGAACTGGTAGACAATTCAACTACTGGGACCCCCCCCCTACTTTGTGGCTAACCCATGAATTCTCTAACTTCTACACCAATTCGTGATTTTAGCGCTATCACTAAAGCGATGTCATCGGCGAGTATTTGTACTCACTGTCGATTGGATGAACCTTACTGATCACGATAACAACACTGACCATAGTAAAACAAAAGTAGTCCGAAAGCCCTCAATGCTAAGCAGCATTGCTTTTGGTCCAGATCGAAGTGATCTGAAAACTGGAAGGCCGGCTACACCCATTCGGGACCCAGCTCGTCCGCACTGTACCCAGATGAACTCGTGACGTATAACTAGGACTAATGACATATGTGTTAAACTTGGGCATTGTGGTAGTAAGTAATTTCATATTAGTTTGTTTATTAGATGTATCACACAGTGAAACAGGATTGTTTACTGGATGACGTTTCGAACAAAATTTACCAATGAATATGGCTATAGAGGCAGTCAGAAACGAACTAATTTCTGACCAAGAACTCGAACTGAGGACAAAAGTACCACTTGAGGACATAATGCTGGAAGCACAACTATGCCTGACTTCCACAACATTTAAATTCCAAGGGAAAATATACAAACTGAGGGAGTTTCCATGGGATTACCAATATCCCCCGTTGTAGCAGACAGATTCATGGATAGGTGTGAAAATACAGTGAGTGAAATGTTTACCCCCACCCTAAAAGTATGGTGGAGGTATGTAGATGACACATTCACTGTACTCAAAACACAAGATATAGATAGATTTTTCGAACACATCAACTGGAAGGTAGAGGCAATTTAATTCACTTATGAATTGGAAAGTCAGGAAGGGGAACTTCCAATGTTAGATTGCAACGTAAAAAGGAAAGAAGATGACAGGTTAAACACTAGTGTTTACAGGAAACCCACATATTCAAACAGATATTTGGACTTCCTATCATCCCATCCTATGTCAGTGAAAATAGGATTGGTGAAATGTTTGCATGACAGAGAACAAAAACTAAGTAGTACCAAGGAAAATCTAAGACAGGAAGTGATACACATAAAAGAAGCCTTAAAATCTTAATAATTACCCGGATAAATTAGTCAGGAAATATGTAAGGAAATGTTAAAATAAAATAAATAATAATAGTGGCGATAGTGATAATAATAATTATAATTATAATAATATTAAAGACGACACCAACAATAAGGAATCCTAATCATCAGTAGTAATTCCATACAAGAAAGGAACCTCGGAAGTCTTACGAAGAAATCCTAACAAGGCAGGAATTAAAGTCGCTGGTATTCAAATCACCCACAAACTTAATTAGAAACAAGCTTTATCGGTTAAAGGATTAATCCTGTGGAGCCTTTAAAACAAAAACAAAAAAATTTAGTTTATCTAATACCCTGCTTGCAGTGATTGTCAGGTCAAATAAATAGGTCAGAGTAATAGAACAGGTGCAGTCAGACTAGCTGAACATAAAAACCTAGCAGCAAAATCTAGATTAGCTGACCGCAATAATAAGATAAGAAATTCAGAGAATAGTTCAGCCATAGCACTACGTGCAGTTACACACAACCATACAATAGGATAGATGGGATAAGATGACAGTTCTAAAATCTAATGTAACAGCAGAGTGGAGGGAGAGATTGATGTCAACGGAAGCTTTGTTTATTGAATCAACTGCAAATACATGTAATACGAATGATTCAACACCTGTCCCAGATATCTGGAAAGTTCTACTACCCCTACGACAAATAGGAGAAAACAAAGAAAACTATAAAACTCGGGTTTCGAAGTCGTGTGATTACAGTTGATATGACTATGAACAATAATAAATTGTGTTCGAAACTGTGTCATCCAGTAAATAATACTGTTTCACTGCGTGATACATCTGATAAACAAACTAATAGGACTGATGACGGTACACCTAGATAAGCATCTGGTGATGACTGACCGCCAACACTTCCATCCATTACTCATATGACAGTTAAGCATTAACAATGATGACTGCAGCGATATAACTCGCTGGTGAAGAGTTGGCTGTTGTAACTCAGAAGTCCGTCCGACTCCTGTTGCTATCCAGATTTTCACTTCTGTTACAATTATAGTCTACCAATCCTAGGCTATCTCATATAGATAGTCTCCCCCCCAGAAAGCATTAATACCCCTCGACAGAAAAGATATTCTAATATTATACTATTTATGAGGAACTTACTTCAATAGAAGATACTCCACGGAATCCAAAATCATGTAATTTATACTCTGTTGACAGATCATCCGCTGTCTCTTGAAGATATTTAGCAATAATGCGCTTCATAGTTCTTGAATTCGTGGCTACAGCAATTGGATACCAAACTTGTACTAATATAGTCTGTACTGTGCATATTATATCAATTGACTTCTAACTAACCTCAAGATAATTAGTTAGCCAATAACACTTTGGATCAGTGTTTTCCACCGTCATTAGAACATTTTTTGTCGGAACGACAGTCCCCTCAGGGACTGCTTTAATAATCACCGGCAGATGACCTTTATGATGCTATAAACAGCGTATTATTCAAAAATATGAATAAATCATACAAACATACATCAGCTATATATCTCCATCCTTCTTCATTGAATATATCTCTACCGAAATGCTCAAGAAATATTGACTTGGCTTCATCAATCTTCTCATGTGTAACAACTTGACCGACAAGATTACGCTTTATGATATACTGTAAGCCAAAGAATACAGCGCTTGGAAATTTGCCACCACGACTTTCAAAATATGAATAGATAGTTTCTGTTCCAGGTGGATATTGAGCATAGTGACTTACCTTTTGTAAAAATAAGAAAGAGAGAAGAAGATGAAGAATAAAGAATATTCACATACTTTATAGGAGTCACATAGTAGAATGATATTGTCCAGTGCAGTCGACTGATAACCATTCATGATAATTGAATACACAGGCACTGAAGAAGATTCGACCAGAATAACGGTGTATAAAATGTATCTATCTGAAAAGAAACAATGTCAATTTATTTTAAATTTATCAATGGAATACTTTCAAATTTGAATATTTTAGATTGATGTCGTACGTTAAAAAAGAAAATGTATTTTGATTTACCATCTATTCAAGATGGATGATTACAACTGGAAAATGCATAAAATACGAAGAACTACACATTGAATAACTGTTAGAAACTGAAGTAAGATAACGCACAACTATCAACAAAGCTTTTCCTACTACGGCCAAGAGTGGATAGACTTCGACCTTCCTCTCAAAATGCTCAGCCCCCACCCCCTCCATATCTCTAAGCATTCACATTCTTCGCTAAGTAAGCTCTCTTAGCACGGATATAGAGTGCTAGTTTCGCATGTGCCAGTTTACGCCGTCTCTGGCTTAGCAGACGTGATGTCCGACTGGCTATCGACCAAAAGGCGGATGTACTACTCAGCAGTCCACTCCAATCTCCTTTATGGCTGTGAGAGAGACATGGCCATTGGAAGTGAAAGACATGAAACGCCTCACTGTCTGTCTTCGATCATATGTGCCTACATCCTATCTCCCATATGAAGTGGTATAAAAGGGTGAGCAATATTGACGTTACGCATCGGTCGAGTGCTAGGTTGGTGGGAGGGGAAATCAATCGACGAGGCTGTGAAGTTACACCGCTTGACATGGTTAGGACATATGTTTCGTATGCTCAGCAATCCATCGCCTTCCTCGACGGGCAATGTTAGCTGACATAAGGTCAGGCTGGAAAAGAGCCAGTCGCGGTCAAACTAAAACATCACACTAGTCAATGAAATCTACAACAGTTAATTTAAGCCAGCCACGTAGAAAGGTGTAGACTTTCTGACTGGTTGGGGTCCTCAGAACGGTAAAAACCAATGCCTGGAGACAATTATCAGTGATATGGCTTAAAATCTTTCTCAATGGCTAGAGCAGATGCATCCACTCCTTGTGACATATGATTTCCAATGAAACTGTTTTTTTCTTCGTTATTACTATTTCTTTGTCTCACACTTTTGTTTACTGTCTCTATTATGAATTTCTTCAACTTTCTTCTCTTGCTACGTGTGGTACATGGAGTGTGGCGACTCGAACTGGTGCAAATCGGTGCAAAGTTCTATGTCGAAAATAGACAAACAGACAGGTAAGCTCTATTAACTATCCTGATGCGGTGAAGGTGTGTTCTAATGAAGGTGAAAGGGGCAGAGCGAATGCCTGGAGCTCCCAACCGTACTCGTGGACATCCAGGTCTACACCTAGGAGATCTGGGAAACCTTGATTCCAAATCTATGGTGTACATGGATTCCAGAACTGGGAATAACCAGATGGTATATGAACCAGTTTGGGTCACCGGAAACCATGCAGAACGCAGCTCCTAACTCTGCTCCGCTGCTTTGTGAATCAAACATCGGGTTAAACACGTAGAGATAGACCAATAAGATGACCAATTGTATCCATCTGGGATTCTGGGCAGTATCTCTGCCCTCGTACAAACTGAGATTTTATCTGAGGCATTTCTTGGTGTCCATAATATACCAAGTTTGTTTTTCAATGAATCAACAAAACTTACATTGACATATATATGCATAATAATACAGATAATGTCACTGAGAACACCCGACAATCATAGGTCACGGGTCATTCCAGCCTTATAGTGTTGAGTTCTCACTGACTATTAACCCCTTCCCAATGGTGGGTGATTCAACTTCTCACGTAAGTAGGACAGTCACTGTAATCAGCCAATTCGGCATTATTTTCAGAGAGCAAGTCAATACAGAGTATCTCTGAAACACTTAACAGGATTTACAAGACAAGAAATCAATCTCAAATATTTTCAAACATGTCACCGAACTTTTTCAGAAAACTTTGCATTTGTGAGAATCTTTCACAACACAGAATTATCCCATTTAAATGCCTCTGGTTGACAAAGAAGTTTCTGAATATATCGGTTTATGTCAAGCTCTTGACATATAGTGAAAATGGAGAGATTTTTGAAGGACACTCGTTAACACAAGTCTGTGGCACAGGTAAAATGCTCGCCAGCAATGCAGGTGGTGCAGGGTTCGACCCTAGGCCGACGCGCTCCTTTGCCTCGCTAAGCCAGTTATAAGACTGGTAAAGAGGGAAGGTTGGGCATGAGGCTAGCAACCTCATCCCGTAAAAAAATAAACACAACTGCTACTGAAACTTTAAGCCCTATGTTCCACTGGGAACGTAAAGGAATAAAAGAAGTCAAAAACCAATTGTTGTGTTTGTATTCCAATATATGGTTTTGCTGACCACGTAACTTCTTCACAGTTATCATAAAGAACATTTTCTATTGAACGTTTGGAACGCGGAAAAAATTAACCATAACAATCTGACAGAGGCAGTTAAAGCTTAAAATTCAGGTAGGTGACAATAAACATTTTGAGCCATCTTTCACAAATACCTTCGGTGGTAGTTTATTGATAATCACTAAACTTTCGAGTTTCGTATAAACGACTGTGGTGTAGCTTACCAGCTTCACTTGCAAGCAATGAACTGACGCTCCATTTATTTTAACTAGACCAACTGGGCAATATCGACGATGTTAAATATGGTTGATGTGCTAAAATTTGCATTGTTAACACGTCAATTTCTAGATAATGACGACCGAAAACAGCATTATCGTTACTATATCTCCTATCTCCCTAGTCAACTTTTCAGAGACCACCTGGATCGTCATCAACTGGAGAGTACAGAACCAACCGCCCTTTGAGGTCTTTAATATACCATTTTAGCTGTTTCCTCTTTAAGTGAACAATTAGTCCACCGTCTACAAATAACTAGCATGAAATGCAGCTCATTGGCTTGACCACCTTTTGGTCAATGGATAGTGAATTCAAGCCGCATTCTATTTACATTAACCTAAGCAACTGGATAGTATCATCAGCCCTCACAATATATTCGGTCTGCAACCTGTTACATGAGGCCCCTGTACTGAATAACTGGTTTATAACTAACAGAATAACGAAGTAGCCACTAATCCATATTATTTCACTCTCTTTGTTTTAAACTATCACTTGCTATTACATACCATCGCTGCTTCCACTAGAATGTTACATTTTTATCTTCACTACTATCCACTTAATGTGTAAAGTTTTTGATTCGTGAACTAGGAGTCAACCAAAGCTACGACAGTCGAGTGGCGGGACGGGCTACGCAGAAGTTTACCGGAGATCAACAACCTATACCTTGCAATCAAGAAGCGAGCACAAAGAAATCAAATTGGTTTATACTAGCTCGTAAAAACGACATTGGATATTGGAACAATCCAGCCTACCATACAAGACCATAATGAGCAGAAATATATAACAGAAAGAATGGTAACATGGAAAGTCTTGAGTACTTAATTCATCTGAGAAATCACAGAGAGCGAATGCATATGGGTCACTGAGGACAATTTTGAGCCATATCACACATAGTCCCCAATCGGACAGTCTACACCTTCCTACTTGGTTCAAAACAACTATCAAACACTTCACGCACTGATGCAAAGTTTAGTTTGATACAAGTTGATACATATTCATAATTGGTATTACAAATTAAGTAAATATTTCCCCACCCCACCCCCATCAGATTGAGGAAAACTGTCACCTCTCATTACCTATATTGTTACCTGCGTAGTTAATGTCTCCCAGTATATTTGAATATGATACTGTACAAGGACAAGTAGTCGTCAGAAAATAATTACAGGTGGGCATAATTTTTTAAGAAGGACAATACGCCCAGGAAGTTTCTTTTTAATTGTTTTAGACCCTCCACTTAAATAGTGAAATGTTAACCTACTCAAAAATTAACATATAGAGTGGAAGTGTTCATACACTAATATGGTGAATTATGAGAAAACAATCAGAGCATCACACCAAAGTTACATAGACTGAAACTCAAGTTACTGGCTGATGACTGTGTGGATCCGCAATATATCGGTTCGTTCCAACTTAATTACAATTCCACTACACACACCACACGGTAGATCGTAATATATAGGGCCACATAGACAATGCTACTTAGTTAAAGTTTTCGCAAAATATAAAAATTATTTCAATGATACTACACAAATAAGAATACCAGTGAGGCTTAACTGGTGAATCAGTGTAAAAAGTAGCGAATTAATGCACACAGGGAAACAGAAAATAGCTGACTTCATGAATTATAAATATGGACGACACGAAGACTTATGAACACTAAAGAAGATTTTCAGAATCCGGATGTGAACACATATATCGGATACTTATTGATATCTGGAGATGTTGCTGACAATTTTCAACAATTGATTCACGAAACAATGAGAACACTAATAAAGGAATCTGCACTAACCTACACCGACCAATACCTTACAATGAGTAACCTGATAGATTGGGATTGCGTTATCACTTAGCCAACTATAACGCTCTGTTGAGCTCAACCCACCTCGCATAAAAATGCTTGTCAATGAAGGCTTTTACTCAACATGCGCATGCTACGTGAGTAAAACATCTTCGGTATACCTCAGAAAACTACAGCAATATACTCTCGTTTTGGACGTGATATAATACACTTTTTATGTAAAACTAGTAAAGAATTATAAGTGTAATTAAAACGATTCCACTCTGCAAAAATCATGAATAAGTGGTTTCAATAAGTGGAACTCACACAATACTTAAATCCGAACCAAATAAGTCGAAAAATTAGTAGTGCATTAAAACTAAAGTCTGAAGGACACTATGTGGAAACAATCAAGATACTATAAATATTAACTTTTATACAGATAACGTTTTCAATATTGTTTTATTCTATCACATGCACCTCTTTTACAGATGAAAGCTAAACACGAAATTCGGAGTTGGTGAAAATGTCAAAGAGCTTAATAATGTTAAAAATGCATGACTGCTAGAGTAAGCGGTGGCTTATCTACATATTATGGATCAGTACTTTTCTTACATTCTTCTTTTCCAACTGGTTTGTTGAAAGTCCATAGCCACATAAGCACATATTTTGAGGCTACTTCGTGTTTCTGTTTGAGAATTACAATGATGAAATGTGTAAGGCTCCTCGGTATCCTAAATCACACCACCTTGAGCAGCTGCTTAAATATCAATCAATAACTATGTCATTTCGATATGAGGCAAACAACCTTACAGGAAGCATTAAAAGTCCTATTTATTATGACAAACTATTTCTAGTAGTCCAGGGAGAGTAAGGGTGAAAGATTAGTATGATTCGATAGAATGCCAGAATTAGCAAGCTGATGCATGCTGGTTGAAGAGGGAGTAAAATTTTCCAAATTATTCGTAAAGATCAGTTTTTTTCTTGTCCAGTATTTCAGAAAATTGTTATGATAATTTAATTTAGTATTAATGAATCGAACATGTACATATATTTGTTACATTTGTATAGGTTTTTCACTGTTTGTGAGCAGATTATTCTTCTGTGTGATATTCATCTTGGTTGGTCCATTTGATAAACATGGAAGATAGATTTTCATTTCCTGGTGAACGTTTGCGTTATAACAACTTTCTTACGTGAACTATAATATACGTGCTGGATTAAGCGGTGCTGAAGATTTACATCGCCTTAGACGTGCACAGCACGTCGCTCATTGAAGTCTTCGTTCTTAAGATATCTAGACAACAAAATCATTTGTCAGGTACCCACCAAAAATCAACTAACGGATATGTATTTTAGACCAGACTGGCACTTGTAGGACATGTACAATAGGCAGAATCGCCGGCACAAGAAGAAGCAAGATGCAAAGACACAGAGGCCAGTATGATCTTTTTCGATTTTAGACAGTAAGGTCTTTTAAACAAATACTTCAAAGACCTGTGTGTGCAGGCCGTAACATGTCAAGGGCCTTACGTCCATCCATACCAACAAAAGAAGTACTAGTAGTAGATCAAAAAAGATAGATTTTTCAGCAGATTAACTGGATCCAGTTATTACCGCTGTCACTGAAACATGGCTTGTCTACCATTTGGATTAGACTCACAAACTGTCAGGGATTGGCTGTCTAAGTGGCGAGACTGTAAGTGGTCATAAGAACAGTGGAGTTATTCTTTATATTAATGAATTGCTCCTCATTGATCCCTGAAATGCCACATCTGACCTCAGAGGAATCTACGAGTTAGTCAGTTGTGAGACTAGTTCTTTGACCTACAACCTTCCTACTGAAGTTACAAGACCAGGTCCGCATCGTCAGTATAGTGACTTCGTTTTCAGTCACATTGGACATATATAGGAATAAATATATGTATATATAGTAAAGTAGATTTCGCAGCTGCTACGTTCTTTGTGTCTTTAATGCATCCCATGCAGGATGAAAGGTTCTTTCCATCCTTGAGGTAGCAGTGAATTCGACGGCAAATTACTCTTAATTATTATGGGAAACACCTTCGCTGAACATGTCTTGGGCAACAAATGCTTCGTCCTTACCCAGAGCCGTTTCTTCCGAACTCGGTGCCAAAGCACAATGCAGAAAACAAAGTAACCTGTTCACTCCAATCTCGCTGACACTGAACATACAGTATAGTCACTGTCAATCAGTCCGATATCAACCACCAGCCCTCCCTAGCGTTTGGCTTGATATAGCAGGTACTAAGGGAGTGCCTCCGAATGGAATCATAGAAATTCTTCAGTTCAATCACACCTCAGTCGTTTCGCCTCCAACGATCAATTTGTTTATCTGTCCTGGATGAATCATACTGGACTCAATTGGATTTTCAAGTGACAACGGCGAAATTTCTGTGCTGTGATGTGACTACACACCCTCACATTTTCATCATAGTAACCAATGTATCCTTGAGTAACAGTGAGTACCGTGTTCCACGCTCACTAGTTGGGACAGTGTTAAAAGCATTCCGGCACCAGGTTAGGTGAGCCAGGCCAAAGGGTCAGAAGGTAGCACTTTCAAGGCTCAGGTCTAGCAGGATATGTTGCCGAAAAATAACCATAACAGCAACTCCTAGTTGGGTGCAACCAGAAAGCGAGCTCGAAGTCGTTAAAGCAGCGTATCTTACTGGCTTTCTAGACCTTACCCACGCGCCGTTGATCCGGTGGTGACATGTCCATTCGCGATGTGTTGAATAAATCCTAAAGTGCACTCGTAATGGTCGGTGTTTTATTACTTCACATTCCAGTGGAATATGCGGCTTCAAGCTATGGACTTGAAGTTTCTGTGGCAGTGTTTATTTTCACAGAACGGGGTTGCTAGCCTCATGCCTAACCTTCCCTCCTTACCAGGTTTACTGGTTTAATGAGGAAAAGGAGTGTGTCGGCTGGGATTTGAACCTCGGACCACATGCGTGGTCGGTTGGCGAGCATTCTACCGCTATGCCACCAAAGCTATGGAATAGTCATATTTGAATTTAACTCAGAGAGGATTCCTGGGAAACCAATAAATCGCCCTCTGTGAGCAAATGGATTCATCATGACACTTCTTTGGTGGAGAAATGAGTAATAAAACCTCTCAGTCACCATTAGACCGCACGGTTTCTGCCAAAATAGCAGACCAGAAAACAGACAAAGACACCGGCTTAACAACCCATGAAGATGTGTGAATGCCTTCTCAATAGGAACCTACAGGATTGTCCTAAATGTCTCTTCGCTAATCTAATGTCAATGGCATAGTTGATATAGGTTTTTTCCACCCGATTCTGTTGACAAGGTAGTATAATTTCGAACTGACAGAAACCGTAGACTGCTGAAAGGAGGACTTCTTTGTGTATAGAGGGCAGAGTAAAAGATAGTGCCGTCTTGGCACCATGGTAGCTGATTGAAAGTGGGATAACTCAAAGTGATATTCTGTGGCAAGTTTTTATTCCATGTAAATGAGATTACGCTAATAATTGAATGACCCTGTCTATTGTTAGCAGATGAAAAACTATAGGGTTTCCGGAAATGATAGCGATCGAACTTAGTAGCGAGATCTGTGTCTGCAAGTTGAATAGTCGGGTATCTGTTTCCTGTAAACCAGTATAGTCAAGCTTCTACCTATGCATGTTGTTCATAGCAACATGCTCAGCTTATCAGCAATCACTTAATTTGACTAGGAGGGTTCAGAAGTGGTCGTGAGACACAGCCAGGCAACCTCAGCTAACTGTGGATTAATACTTTGAAGGGTTTCAGCGCCGACTGCTATGTGAATTTTGACCCTGGTGTGTTCCGTGCGCTGCATACGGCATACAAACAGCTTCATTTGGAATATAGAATCCTGGCAGCAAGTTCACAGTAAAAAGATTCCGGAGAACTGAGACGCAGTTTTTTTAATTGACACTTAAAGCTTATAAAAAGGAGAGGCCTGTTTTACCTCCACTCTTATTTTGGGCGACTGAGGCGCGAACTCAATTAAGCATTCCTAGGTTTGCTTAAGGTTACGGATCTTTATTTACCTTCTATTTTCCACTCTGAAAAAGACTTCTTGTGAGCGAATTATTTTAAGATCCAAAAATCACCTACAAAATGTCTGCCCCTGGAAGATCCTAGCCCGCAAGAAGCCGTAAATAAATGGAGTAAGCATGTCCTATCAGAAGCTTCTGTGGATTCATTCGGCATTAAGATGGATCTCTACTCTACTGCATTGGGATAAATGACCAGGATAAATAGCCAAACTTTTAAAAAGTAGGTAAGTAAACTCCAAAACAGCCTGTCCAAAAGTAATATGCCCAGACTACTTTGCTTACAAGAGTGGCACTGAATCTGTGAAATGTTCAGCAAGATCACTTCCGCGCTGCATAGAGCGGAAGACGATCACGTTGTGGATTTCCCACGTAAAACGGATGTATGCCTCAGTGACATACATTTCACACAAGAGACCGATAAAGCTACCGCAAATCTTAAGCCTAGTAACACTATTGGTCCAGACGGTTTACCTTTCATTCAGCTGAAAACGGTGGTAATGACATGAATTTACTCCTACCCAAGTTATTTTCAATTTTACTAAGCGATGGGACATAACCTGCCTGCTGTAAGAAGTCTTATATTGTATCTATCTATAAATACGGGCCCATAGCTGATATCGACAACTACTGCTCCATCAACATCACGTCTTCGGTTTCACAGGTGATGAAAAAGATATTAATACTCAAATCATTCATTACATGCTCCCTAATCACCTACTAACCCATCTCAATAAGGTTTCTTAAGCAGAAGGTCGTGCATTACTTGCCACAGACCACATTTAGCAAGCCAACAGAACCCATTCATATATCTTATGTGTCTAGTGGGGAGCATGTGCCGATTTCTGCACAAAACTTGCCATGGTCTGATGAATACCAGAAACAGATACCAACAATTCATTCTTATACTGGCAACAAATTACCGAATACACATATCGGTTATACCTTAGGGCAGGATTTTCACCAGCGTCAGTTAACAGAAACACCTGGAATCATGCATATAGCACGCATGATATCGGATCAATTCCTTGCTGGCATAGCGAACAGTCTACAGCTAGGGCAAGGCATATTTCCCGGGAGATAGCTGACACAGTGTCGACACCAAACGCGGATACTAATATCTCTAAAATATTAATATCTGATTATCACACAGGTGTCTCTCACTGCATACCATATCCAAACGTAAGCCCATCCCTGACTACCACCTCAAAAATCTACCTGAAGTCTTCCTACGATCCAAAGATATTGGTAAATGAGTCT